CAACCTAGATGCCCTTCAACTGAAGAATGGATAAATAAATTGTGGCACATATACACAATGGAATACTACTCAGCAGAGAAAAACAATGACATCACACGGTTTGCAGGCAAATGGATGGATCTAGAAAAAATCATCCTGAGTGAGGTAACCCAGTTTCAGCCTGTTTTCATACATACCCCAGGACCACCACCTGCTTAAGGTTGGTTCCACCAACAATGCAATGGGACCTCCCACATCAAACACTAATTTTGAAAATTTACAACAGACTTGCCTACAGGCAAATCTTATGAAGCCTTTTTTTTCCCTCAAGAGTTCCTCCTCCCAAATGACTCAAGCTTGTGTCAGGCTGACAATAAGCTAGCCAGGACACTAGTTCGTTTTTTCTTGGTAGTATTTGTTACCTTTTGAAACACCATTTGTGTCATTTATTTGTATACTGGATAGTCTGTGCTCCCAAATTCCACTAGCGTATAAATTACTTGAGAACAGGAATTTTTATTAACACACAGTTGCTTTTCTGTTGGCTTTTACTTTATCTAAACAACAGAGAACAAATGTCACATGTACGATCTTGCCTAAGGTTTATTGAATGGACTCAGGAGGTACAAGACAAAGACCACAGGAAGGAACACATCAAACTGAAAAAATGGCCTGTGAGATCCCCTATAATGGGAGAAAGTTCATACTTTATGAATGAAACAGAACAAGCAGATGTGGCTGGAATGGGTTGGTGAATGTGGTCCGCAATGCTTCCTCTGAAAGACAAAACCAGAAAACTGATAGCTGCCCCTCTTTCTCCTTGAGTGAATCCTGGTGAACCCTGATGCTTTTTCTGTATAAGGCTAGATGGGTCCTCACCACATCAACTACTGAACAAATAGCACATCTCCACTGTAGGAGTGTGGTAACTCTATAGAAACTTTGCTGCATATTGGTCCTTATAGAACTGCTCAGGATCTCAACAGGACCTTGGCTGCTGAGAACTATTCTTTCTTCAGTCCTTGTTTTTTTTTTTTTTTTTTTTAATCATCTTACTTTCTGACAACTCATCTATTTTTTTTAAAATGTAGTAAACCTTTTGGCAATAATACAGCCAATTTAGAAACTCTTATTCTTGCCTCTACTCTAACATCATTTTAGAGATGTTTCTTACTGAACCTCCCACAGTCCCCTCTAAAATCAACCAGATGATATACTTTTGTATAAACAGGACAACTTCTCTCAAATAGAGGCATCGGGCTAATATATAACTTGCATCTACTGGAACTTGTGAAGAACTCTGAATGATGTGAGTGCTGTCCTGCTATGGTTGCATGGAAGGAAATAGAAGTCATTGGGTTACCAGTCAGAGATAAACCACATTTGTTAGTCAAAACAATAACTTCATTTTTCTTCTGTTTTCCTGAGTGTTAATGTTAGATGACAGGAAGCAAAGGATGACCAAAGGACACCTTCTCAGGAGTAGCCAGAGATACAGAAGAGGAAATGTAAGTTTTGGCAACCCTGTTTTTATAATTAGTAGCCAGCATTAGAACAGAAACACCGTCTTTACCATTCTAAACAGTAACATGTTTGTCCTTTGTACCAGAATGAGCAAAGTTCTCTACTTTCCCTGTTTTTTGGACAGAGTAAATTAGAATATTTCTCACAAGATATGAAGATGTGTCAGGGTCTTGGGAAGGGGTCTCTTCTTAGAGTACCTGTTTACCTTATTACTTTACCATTCTGGCTTCAGATGGAAGTTTCATGAAGAGGCCAATCCAGAGCAACTCTTCTTAACCTGACTGACAGGAGCTGGGGATACTTCCTTTCCAATCTGTCTTATGTAGCATTAGACTGAGTTCAGTAACCAATATGCTCCAAGAAAAATTAGTGGATTCAAACAATCTCCTTGGGCTCCTAGTCCCAACTAGCTAAACAGATCTCAAAAGCCATCCACTTCTGTATTGACTTTTTGGCTTGTTCAAGGCATTAATCCAGCATGTCTTAGCATTTGCACAGACTTGGGATAGTCCTCTAAATAGAAAATACTGGCCCAATCCTTCTGTCTAAAGCAACCATGGTCAGTGAGCAGAAACCAATTTGATGATTTTTTTTTTTAGCACCACATTGAACCTTATGGATCACTTCAGCAGAAGTCAGGGATCAATTTTGTCCCACCATTTCTAATTGGAGGACACCCAAGATACAGAAAACTGCTAAAGCCTACTCATAAATATTGTGTCTAAAGAGAAAAGTTAAGAGAGTTTCCACTGAAAAGACACCATTACTTACTTGGGTGCCAAGTATTACCTATATTGCTTTTGTTAAAATATTCTTAGGACTTTTCACATGGCTCCCTAACTGGCTGAAAGTGCTGGTTGAGAGTTTGTATAAAGTCAGTCAGTCATAGCTGTTCTTTCTGTTCATTCTTCAAGCTGAATGGCATTTGCTTGCCAGAAATGATGATGTCAGAGTGGCAATAATGTGACCTGCAATCGTAGGAATAGTGGTAAAGCACTACCAGCAGGTCTAAAAGGGACAAGAGGATCCGTAATTAGTCTTCCAGCAATGGGCAACACTCTAACCAATAGTTAGCAGGAGCCACAAGCCGAGCTCAGAGCAACAGCCTCTGCACGAGAAATGTAGGACACAGTCAATGTCTGATGGGAAAAATTACAGTTTGGGTAGGGCAGACTTGGTTGGGTCCTTAATTATAGTGGTTTCACCAAAAAGCAGGGTCTTTCTGTATAGCCCCATCTCAACACTATAATTTGTAGCTGTGAACCACTGCCCCTCTTCTAGCTCTCAAAGAGAGATATCTTGAATTTGCTGGCCTGTTTTTTTTCTAAGTGACATGTCAAACATTGAGGCCACTGAAACAGTGTAGGCATCAGTAAAAATGTAACAATGATCTCCAAGGATTTACTGTCCAGAGCACAGAGACTGGCCATGGGTTAGAACCACAGATTAGAGTGAACGGTGCTCATTTCCTATAGGACCACCAAAAATGGATAGCCTTAGTAACTGAAGAGATGCTATTTGGACTCAAATCAGCCAACCCATTAGTGTACAGGTGTGGCGGGGATCCCAGTTGTGAATTGAAAATGTGACAGTGAGGGAATGACAAGATGACAAAACTTGAAAGAGGAACTTCTGTATGAAAGCCATTTGTCTTCACCAGAGGCTCAATGTGGCAAAGCGTGGGTCATTCAAAGCTGTTATTAGGGTTACAGGACTCCAAAACAGACAGAGACTGCTGACTCTGGCCTTATTCAAAAGGAGCTGATTGACAGATTGGCTTTCTAAAGGGCTAAGCACAGTAGTGCAATCAGTCTCTATTCTCTAAAGAGCCCAATCAGGCCCCAATTCCTAAAGTGTCCAATAATGTATTAGTCCCTGGAGAGACTGCAGTTTTTCCAACTGCAAGACAACACTGTAAATCTACCCACAGTTCAAAACCACTGCTTTATAAGCAATATTCTGCACTTTGTCAGGGTTTGTCCATCACCCCTGGTGGAAGAAGTGTGTGTTAATGCTTGAGGCAGTAAGCATAACACTTATGAGTGCTCTGACTGGCGACACCATGGATAAAGGGGACACTTTGGAAATTGAATATTGAAGCACTTGTGATAAACCCTGGCTCACTGACTAATGGTAAATAGAGGGGAGGTTCAAGTTCACCTTGGGGAGCACTAACAGCATAAGTGGGAGACCATGCCGTGTAAGTGAGACGTAGCCAGGGTCCTTGGATACAGGAAAATAGGGATGGCCAATGCAGAAGACCACACAGCAAGTGTTATCAATCTGCTCAGTGGGGTCAATCACACACAATGTCTATAACTGCCCAGGTTATGGGAGTAGTAACTGACTGGAACTGGTGATTGAATTCTCTGTGAACTACTGCTAGTTGTTTTTATTCTAACTATCAGAGGTTTTTGTACTGAGCTATTGCATGTCTTAATATTCTTCCTACCTCAAACCCTTCATTAAGGAAATGGTTTTCCTTTCTTTTCTAAGAGGCTATGCGAGATATTTTTTTGCCTTAGGGAGGAGAGGGATGCAAGAGTCATAACAATTTCTGTACCTCATTAGATGTTCTCTATATTCAGCTCTTCCCAGACAAGACAGACAAGAATATAGTGCCCAACCACCAAGGAAATATAATCATGTAATACATAATGTCTCCCATACATTTAGACTTGGAAACACCTTACAAAAGAACACTGAACACCCTGGCAGCTCACATTTGCTTCTTATTTCCACTTGGAACATCTTTCAAAGCCCATTAGCTGAATCTAGTCACATTTTTTTTTCTGCCATAGGTCAGCAGAGGAGAATGCCATGGAAGTCTGATGTTTCTTTTTTTCAAAATTTAACCATTCTATATATCCTGATTCCATGATGAGGACAGAGCCACTTTAACTCCACTAAAACTATGCTTTCTCTTTAAACCAGCTGAGGTAAAAGAAGAGATAAAGACTGAACTTTGAACAATGGTCTATGGCTATAGTCCTAGCCCTTCTAGGGGTGGAGGTGGGAGAATCAGGAATGTAAGGTCATTCTTAGCTACAGAGGGAATTTAAGGCAATCTTGAGCTTTATGAGATAAGAAGAAGAAAGCCATACAGACATAAGAGGAGATAGATTGGGGTAGAGGTGGGGGAGTCATTGTACCTTGAACCTTACGCAACATCACAGCAGCTTGGTAACTTAGCTTAGCTCCCAGTGTTTTCATCTCTCTAGCACTCCATATTGTGATGCAAGACCCTCTTGCTTCTATCACGGAACTCTGGGATCAGCAGCTCAGCCACATTGCTCTCCAGCCAAGACCACTATGTTCCCATCCTCTGACAAATTCAGGCTCCTGTGGTGTATAGCAAGGCAACATTGGAAAGGAGTTCATTTTGATGCGACCTCCTGCAATTCTGTGTGCCACTAACATTGGCTAGACTCTGGCCTTTTTTTTTTTAAATCAAAAAGGCAAGATGAGTTATTTTTTTATTACCACTGTGATCAAATACCTGAAGGAATCAACTAAAGTGGGGAATGGTCCCAAAGGGTTCAGTACATGGTACTCCACTATATATGCTTAGGCAGAACACCATGACTGCTAAAGAGAATAGACGATAAGTTTCTTCATGGGAGACTAGAAGCAGAAAAAGGGAAATACCAACAACTGGATGGTTTTCCCCATTTCCCCCTTTGATTCTGTCTTGTGTGATGGTGCCAATCGCATCACGTAGTTGTCCGACCTTTAGTTCTCTCTTGAAATGCTTCATAGATATACTCTGTTGTGCCTCGTCATCTCTTAGATGGTTCTAAATCCAGTCAGGCTGGCAATGAAGATCAGCTATCATATTAGGGAAACTTCCCAGGGAGATAGATTTCATCAGGTCTGGTTCTCTTTCACCCCAGAAGTTCCTTTTTAGCTTTTAAGTCAAATCACAGCAGTGAAAAACCAGAGCATTCATCAAGTGCCTCTTCCAAGTTTTCCCGAGGAATTTCACTATCACAGAGTAAGTTTCTTGAGAGGGAAAATACTTCTTAAAGAAAGAAACCAGCATCCACTGGAAAACAAAAGACAAGCAAACAGCAAAAAACCTAAACAATAGAAATAACAACCTGAGTCCTTAAACTGCTTTCAAAGTAACCTCAAGCCAGGTGCATTGGCAGCCAGCTAGCTTAATGAACTGGGGAAGACTGGGCAGCACAATGGCTCAGCCACTGTCATTCTTCCTTTATTATACTCCATCTCCCATATTCCAAGAGAACCAGCCAAAGTTCAAACACTTACCCTACTCTGTTTGCTAGCCTAGGGTGAGGCTTAGCAAGGGTTTCTACAATGCAGTGGATCTGAGCTGGCCATCATATTGCCTAGCATGTTTCTCTGCCAAACATGGTTGTGAACTGCAATAACATCCCATTTTAGTGATAGCTTAGAGCCTGCTTCCCAGTACTGTCTGCCTGCATCCAACTTTTGAGTTTCTTCTCATCACCGATCAGTAGTGAAGGAACATTTATTGTTCCAACACCCCTTCAATTAGGTCGAAATGTCTACTACCATCTCCATGGATTGCTCACAAATCTTCACTACCAGTCCACGGTTCTCATCTTTTATATTCTCAAAATACATACTCCACCCGAATATGCACACAGATGCACAGGTGCCATATACATGTGAAAACACATGCACATGGAAAAAAGAAAAATGAAAGTAAAGTCATGTTTTTTTTTTGTTTTTTTTTGTTTTTTTTTTTTTCAGTGTCTTACCCCTGTCATCGAAACTGTCAATGACTGTTGTGGTTCTGAAATCTTATTCCACATACAAGCTACAAACTGGCCTTCCCCAAGTTCAAGGATGTGGGTAGATGGCATTTGACTTTTTAAGGTCATTACTAAAAGCCAGTTGCTTTTAATCAATAGCAATAGCCAGAGTATTTGTACCTCGTTGTCAATGCCCTGTTCTCCCTGTCCCACAGGCAAACACAAAGAATGCCAGTAAGCACTTGCACATGCAGTAGGCTGTAGAGAAGCAGACCCTGCAGCCTTGCTTAAACAAACTGAGGGAGACATGCTATGTTCCAAAACTGAAGGAAACTTGCCTTCTATTGTACAGTGGAACACTATCTCCATGCCCAAGGTTCCTCCCGGACAAAGGACAAGTCATGGCTTGCTCACAGACTTACAGAGGCCCAAGGGGCTCATGGGAAATTTGCCTTTTTGTAGCTTTCCCTTGATTGTGCTGCTTGTAACCTACCTTCACGATGCTTTCTCCTGCAAGGAGCTTACATGATATCCCTGCTGCCTTCCCGACTCCTAGCCCAGCATGTGCTACCTGCTAAGTGGCCCAACTATAATACTAAATGCCCAAAATGTCAGGTGTCTTTTCATCAGTTCCTGAAAACAGAAGTGCTGTGACCCTATCATACAGAAATCATTTTAAAAAGTGAAAATATAAAATTTTCCTAATTTTATACATTATTGATTTGTTCCCATCTGGCTCTTACAGAAACCCTAAGATTCTAGCTTTCCTGATTTAAAATCTCAAACAATATCACTAGAAGTTGCTTTAGCTATCTGACATTGCATAAAACAAATGTTTATGTTAGTTCTATACTATTTTGGTCACCTAGGACAAAACTGTGACGACCTGAAATATTTGGAGTATAAATTCTACAGGAGGCAAAACTAAAATAAATTAATAAGAAAATATAGTGCCCTGTATGATGGATGAAAATAAACAATTTAAAGGTAATAGGGGACACTGAATGAGGGTCATGATGCTATTTTATATAGAGAGGTCATGGCAGCTGTCTATGATGGGATGACATCAGAAGGACATTGAAGGGCCCTAGAAATGAGCAATGCCACTCAGTATCCCAGGCAGGGAGCATAGTCTGTGAAAGAAAGCGGGAAATCAGACCCGTATCTATCACCCTGCACACTAACTCGAAATGAGGAAATCCCTAAATGTGAAACCATAAACACTGGAACTTCTAGGGAAAAACATAGACAATACCCTACATGATGTATGTATAGGAAAGGATTTTAGGACTAGGACTCCATTTGCCCAAAAATGAAGGCCAATGATTGATACCATGAAACTCAAATGATTTCTGCAGAGAAGCAGGTATAAGGAAGCCCAGAATGGAAAAGACTCTTTGCCAGGTATACATCTGACAGAGGATTAATGTCCAGAATATATAAAGAACTCAAAAAGGAGTTAAAAAAAAGAGGCAACCCATTCAAAAAATGGGCTTGGGATCTGAACAGAGAGTTCTCAACAGAAGAAATAAAAGTGGGTAATAAATACCTCAAAAAGTATTTTATTGTCGTTAGCAATTTTGGTAAGTGCAATTTCAAACAATACACAGACTTTACCTCCCACTAGTCAAATGAAAACTATGTGTTGCCTATTGGATTTGAGAAATTGAAGATTCTTGGCCATTTCATTCAGAACAAATTCAGCAGATCTTAATTGGAGTTATGACATCTCAAGAGAGTGCAACAGTACCTTGAAATAATGAACTTAGATAACTTTTTCCCTTAAAGATGCAAGGAAATGGGACATTAACTAGAAAGGTATGCTAAGTTAAGAGATTGTGTGTTTATCTATCTATCCACCTAATATCTATCTAACCTATTTATCATCTATCTATAATCATCTATGTGAAAATGTGTGTGTATGAATAAATGATATATGAATGCAGTTATTGAGAAAGAAAGGCAGGATTTCTAAAATAATCCTCAGAGTGAGTGAGAGGATGGGACCTGGAGTGAGGGAGATGGTGGAACCTGGAGTGAGGGAGATGGTGGAACCCAGAGTGATGGAGAGGATGGGACCCAGAATGAGGGAGAGGATGGGACCCATAGTCCAAGTAGAACATTCAGCTTTGGGAGACAGAGAAGAGCAGTTGCCTCAATGGGGAGATGTAGTGAAAGGTAACCAATGCTGGTAGTAATCAAAATATTTGGACATTCTCTTCCTCTTACTACAATTTTCGACATGAAATAGGGTAGTATGAGAATGGGAGATCAGCTGTTTCAGGTTTGAGGCAGAGAGAGAGATGACCTGACAGAACCACAGCAGGAAATATCAGAATAACAGGGTTAGGAAAACATACCAAGAGGGCCAGAGGGCATGAAGGCTAGATTTGAGTAAGGAGATTAGACGTTTCCCGGGATGCCATTCCATGTGACTCTGTGTTTCCTTTGTCAACGTGAGTTTTCCGACCTCAGTGCAGAGGAGACAAGGAATTCCTAGTGTGCAATTTGAACTTGGTCCCATTTAAAGGACAGTGGTTTGGGCTAGTGAATTAGTCAATTAGTAAAGATTCTTAATGGCAAGCCTGATGATCTGAGTGGTCACAAGTAGAGGGAGAAAAGCAAGAGATGCCCACTGATTTCTCTCTGTCTCTCTGTCTGTCTCTGTCTCTGTCTCTGTCTCTGTCTCTGTCTCTCTCTCTCTCTCTCTCTCTCTCTCTCTCTGTTTCCTCTCTGTCTCTGTCTGTCTGTCTGTCTGTCTCTCTCTCTCTGTTTCCTCTCTGTCTCTGTCTATGTCTATCTCTCTCTCTCTCTGTCTCTCTCTCTCTCATACACACACAATATGATGTATGATGTATACATAACAATTTTTTTTTAAAAAAAGGACTGTGGATTCTGCACTGTTACGAGGGAAAGAGATGCTACGGTCTGAATATGAAATGTTGTCTACAGACTCACATGTTTAAACAGGTGGTTCCAAGCTAGTGGTGCTATTTTGGGACCATATGGAAGCTTGTGGACATGGGACACAGGTGGCGGTGACAGAGACATGCTTCAGGCTTCCACGTTCACAGGCGAAAGGCACAATTTTGTAAGAGTGTATTTAAAGTGTGTTTGAGTCTACCCAAATTTCATTATTCTATAAGGATAATTAGAAAAAACAAATAAAAGTAAATATTCACAGTGAAGAACATAACTAAACATGAAGTTGAGTTTATTTGGTAAGATTCTAGAAGTACAGAACCAGGACCACGCATATTCTGTAAATGAGGTCTTGCCGACTGGTGTGGATTCATTAATTGTAATGCTTGGGGTGGTCTGAACTCATTTCATGAATTAAGACAAGTCCATGCTGGGTGTAGCAGCACATGCCTTTAACCCCAGCATTCGGAAGGCGGAGTCAAGTGATTCTGTGAGTTGGAAGCTGGCCTGGTCTACAAAGTGAGTTCCAGAACAGGCTCCAAAGCTACACAGAAAAATCCAGTCTCAAAAAACCAAAGTGGGGGGGGGGAGGGGGAAGAAAAGTCCACAACAGTGTTTCCTGCAAATGAAAATGGCAGAAAATATAACTGTGCTCCCCAAGACTAATAAAATTGCAACTACAATAATTACTGACAGTTCACAAGACAGCCATCAACTCCAGGATTGCCACAGAGAGGCATTTAATGAAGACATTGAATTAGCTGCACAGTCTCTTAAACAGTCCAGTGGCTCTGATGACTGCTGTGCTCCTTAGCTTTTAAGAGATACATTTTTACTACTTTTGCAGAGGCCACTAAACCTTGTGAGCAGGTGGAAAGATGGGCAGAGATCTGAGGAGTTAGTGGTGTGGAACTGAGAGGCAATGAACGGACTGACTCTTCTGTCTTACCTTTAAGCCCTTACTTCAGAGTAACTGTCCTTGGGGAAGAATCTTGAGTTAACACATGCATGGAATAAGGAATTAGGGCCTGTGGACAGCAGTAATACTAAGCACAACTCTAGCATGTTTTAATAAAGTGTTAGAAGGTATGTGTGGCACAAGGAGAAATCCCACGGTCAGGGCAGAAAGAGTCTCAGGCAGTCAGCATGTAAGGCAGGAGTTCATGGAATTAATAAGTGATGACTACCCATGGCCCCATCACATTTTTAGTAAGTCTTCCAAAAGATTTATTATGTAGACTGCAAAAGGAATAGAAACACCAATATTTGCAAAATCTTGTTTTGTTTTTGCAGTGCTAAGGTTGGAATTCAGGGCCGTACCACATGCCAGTTAAGATTTTCCAGCACTGAGCTACATCTCGGGTCTTCACAAATATTTTTAAACATTTATTTTATGTGTATGATTATTTCCCTGAACATGTGAATGTGTACCACCTGTGTGTCTGTTACTGCTGGAAGACAGAAGAAGACAGCAGATCCCTTGGAACTGGAGTTATAGATGGTTCTGAATGGCTATGTGGTGCTAAAAACTGAATTTGGGTCCTCTATAGGTCACCGAGTACTCTTAGCCACTGGGCCATTCCTCTTGCCCCTCACAAAAATCTTTATAAAACCTTTAAGCCAGATATGGTAGTACATGTCTATATTCCTAATAGCTGGGTGGCTGGAGCAGGAAAATTATGAATTTTAAACCAGCCTGGGCTACATAAGGACAGTACAAAAAATTTCTTTATCCAGAAGTCACTCTTGTTTATTTAAAATTTTTTATGTGTTAAACTACAGACAAACTGATCCTTTGGACTCTTCTACTTCAAATTATGACAGGCCAAGCAAAGGTAAGAAGTTTGTGTAACCATGGAACATTTGAAGGAATAGCTTATACAATACAAATCTCAAGTGTGTAGAGGCCCAGATACACACACACACACACACACACACACACACACACACACACACACACACACACACACACACTGCACAGGCACAAACATGGCAAATTGGAGATCTTACTGTTATTAATTTTTAAAGAGATTTCTAGGGGTGTAGGGGTGCTTGGAAAGAGGGACTGAGATGAAGATGACTCCGATACCTCCTCTCATGGGGCTCTACCCCCATCACAACTGCTCCACTCTGTGACCATTTTGCCCATACCTAATTACTACAAATTTCCATCTTTCAATTTAATCCCATTGGGAATAAGGACTTTAGTTTGTGAGTTTAATGGAATTCGTCTATGCAGATGTCAGACAAGGTCTGTAACCCAACAAAAAGAACTTTCCAGAATTCATTTCCTTATGTGGAAAAATGGACCATATAGAGATGATTCTGGAGCTTGAGATGCAAAGATTACCCTGGATTTTCTCTGTAGACCAGAGTGATTGTGAACATACACATAGGTGGAAGTCAGAGGGCGAGCATCAGAGAGGAAGATATGATAATGGACATCAGTAGAAGGGACAGGAAGGAGCCCTGAACTAAGGAATTTGGATGGGCTCTAAAAGCTAAAAAGCTTATGAAGGGAGGACTTCCTTCTAGGAGTTCCTGGTAGAACACTGTCTCTGTCTCTTTCTTTCCCTCTCTCCCTCTCTGTCTTCAACTTGCAGAAAAGATATAAGTTCTCACCTACTGT